GTGAAGGAAAATTGCAGCTTCCTGGCTATCCCTCTGCTCCTGACCCCGTCGTACCCCTCCAGACAGCCACGGTCTCGAGGCCTGGCAGCGTTTTCCCATCCCTTCGTCCCCTTCATCTGACCCGGCAGGAGCCTGCAGCAACATGCTGGAGACAAGGACTCTGAAACCCAGCCCCACTCCCCAGCAGCCCTGACAGCCCGTGGGGGCTGGGGGCTGCCCGGGGAGCAACGGCTTTACTGCCCACCGTGCATGATGGTTTCCCTTGAGCCGATGCCAGTGCAATCCCTCGGAAAGGGGACCGGGGTGGGTGAGCTGACCCTGCGCTGACAAAAAGCCTTGGGAGATCAGTGTGTGCCTGATGGCTGGGCATGGAGAGGATGCTCAGGGCGGCCCTGAGTGCAGCCCTGTCCCTGTCCCTGTCCTAGCTGAGCAGGCTGAGAAATGAAGAAGAATGCCAGTGGGGTAAGGGAAGTAGGAGTAGCATAATGTTTTTCTTGCAAGAAAGCTCCCTTGCTTCAGGCTCTTTCCCCCCATCCCTGACCAAAGCCAGCCCTGTGTCCCAAATCGCACTTTGTGTTAGGGGCTCAGCACTCCTGTCTGCCTTAACGATGTGTAAATGGGGCCAGACCTTCACCTTGCTTTCCTGAATAAAAAGCTGAGACCAAACCAGAGAGAGCATTCATTGCATGGGACACAAGGCAGCAGGAGAAACAGCACAAGGTGGGGTCGGTGGTGCCTGGTCAGGAGGGGCTGGGGGACAACTCACTCTGGCTTCTGCTCCAAAGTGACGAGCAGCACCGAATGACAAACCCTCCATGAAATGTTTCCCCTCAGCAGCCCCACAGGAGAGGCAGGTCCCCTCCACTCCTGAATCCATCTCCCCTTGGCCATGCTGCTCATGGCCCCCACTGCACCCTGTCCCGGCCCACGAGGGGCTCGGTGTGCCAATGGCCCCGAGCTCCTTGTCACATCCATCAGTCCCCGGGATGCCTGTCGGGGCACTGACCTGTGCCCACATCCTGGGGCGCAGGATGGGCTTGGGGCCGTGCTCCTGCCTCGTGTCCATGCAAGTGGTGGCACCAGCCTCCTCCAGACACCGACACCATGTGGGGCTGCTCCTGAAGGGCAGGGAGGTGAGCCCAGGGCTGTATCCACCAATACTCAAGCAGGGCAAGCATGGGGACAGCAGCTGTGGTCATCTGAGAGCCCCTGGGAAAGAGGCCAGCCCCATCCACGGCTTCCCACAGCACTCCCTCTGCCTCTCCCCATGGCCCCAAAGGGAAGGGGACTGCAAACCCCCAGAGCAGGGGATGTGCCCAGGACACCATGTGGCTGTTCTGGAGCTGCCTCAGCTTCCCAAAATTCCCACCAGGACAGAAAGCGGAAGCTCATCCCATGCCCCAGCACGGTGCACAGAAGAATGAGAGTGGGAGGAGCTGGCACGACAGGACAAGGCTGTCCTGTTCCTGGGCCCATAACTGATTTGATGAAACTGGAGGCAGCTGGGCAAGAAGACAGACCAAGACCTGTGATCAGCCCAAATGGCTACTGTCTGGCTAAATTTGAAATACCTGGAGACAGGCCCTTCTGGGAAATCGCCACGAACTCACAGCCTGTTCTCATGATGTGTTGCCCACTTTTGTTTGGGGAACTCATTCCCACTCCCTCCTGCCATCATTTCCCAGCAAACCAGTGTGTAGGTGGATCCTGCCCCCTGGTTTGGAACCTCTATAGCCTATGGGAACCTTTCCTCAAATTGCAAAAGCCTGTCAGAGCCTTGAACCCAGGAGGCTGTGGGTGGATGGTAAACATTGTCTTGGCTATATCTGCAGGTCCACACTGGATTCCTCTGCCACCCCTTGTTGGCTCACTGGATGGAAAGCAAAGATCTCATTTCAGAGCCTGGAGCAGCGCAAACACGGGTCTACAGCAGTTAAACACCTGGAGAAGGAGGCTGTGGTGTCCCTGACTTCTGGTTACAGCTGGAGACATGAGGTCCCAAGCTGCCCTTCCCGTCCTGCTTCTCCTCATCCTGCACCTCGCAGCTGGGGCGTCTGCAGCACAGTAAGCCCTCTCTGTGTCTGTCTGTGTCTACTGGGAGGGTATTTATTCTTATTTCTTTAGCAGTACGTAGTGGGAGCTAACCTTTCCCATGCATGGCATTGTTGCCCAGGATGGCAATACTTATGTTGGTGGTTGTCCCTGTTCATGAGCATCGAGGACTTGGCACTCAGGGGCTGCTGGGGCTGGTGGTTCTGGGATGGTTTATTTCAGGTGCTGCTTCAGTTGCAGTTGTGTGAGCAGAGCCTTTGCTTTGCTGAGTTGAGAAGTCAAGGGGAGCCCAGAAGCAGAGCGGGGAGGCTGGAGGAGGTGGCTCTGCACCCCAGCACAGATTTCTGTGTGCCCAGGAGCTATTCAAGTCCTCCGTGGGTACAGCTGTACCGGGATGTGCCTCATCGCCACACTTCTCATGTCAGCATTTGTCCTTGACAGGAGTTATGTGGTCACATCCCCAGCTGTGATCTACCACCCCCACAGAGCAATGCTGTGGGTCCATCTCAGTGGCCTCCATGAGCCTGTCCATGTGACCATCCAGCTCCAGAGAAAAGACAGGACCCATAACATCATTCTGCTGGAGAGGATGGTCCAGGAGCCTCATCTGTACTTGAACATCACCTTCCCCGTGAGTGCCACCCCATGCACAGCTGTAACGGTGGAGGGGGCTCTACTGGACACCATGCTGCCTCCAGGCAGAGCAGTTTCCCCCAAGTCTCCTGAGCATGGAGCTCTAGTTCCACATGGGGCTGGGAGCAAGTGTGCCTTCCCCATCTCATCCCCCACGCAGGCAAAACAACTTCAGGCTCAGCCCAGTTATTTGGAGGCTGAAATAATCCCCTGGTAGCAGACCTGCAGACTGGCACAGGGTGTTGGGGGGACATTTCTTCCAAGGCCCTGGCTTGAGGAAGGTGTCCCTGTGGGTGAGGATTGCTCTGGGTCAGTCAGAGTGAGCAGAGCATCCTGGCCATGGCATATCCCTCTGTCCTCACTCAGTGGCTGGTGTTTCCCCTGCAGGCTCCAGCTCCCACCAAAGGGAAGGAGGAAATTGTAGACCTGCATGTCTTAATCCAGGGAGATTCCCTGGATGTCTCCAAGACAAAGAAGGTGATGTTGAGAGCCCTAGAGCCTGGGATCTTCATACAGACAGACAAGGCTGTCTACAAGCCTGGACAGCAAGGTGAGGTGGGCAGGATGGACCACCCTGCTCTGGGCTGAAGGACCTGGTGGGAGAGGGCTGTAGAAGGCTCAGCCTTGCTCCTATGCTGCATGGAAACAGGGCAGCTCATCCTGGGATGCACTGGGACCCCCAGCACGGGTCCAGGGCAATGCCAGGACACATTGGCAGTGCTGGACGCCGTGCTTCTTGGGGGGAAGTGCCCCACTGCAGGGCTCAGGGTGGATTTCCATCCACCTTCCCCATGGGGAACCCCCCTCTCTGCAGATGCACCCACTCCTTGTCTTGGTTTCGGCTGGGACACAGTTAATTTTCTTCCTATAGCTGGCACAGTGCTGTGTTTGGGATTTAGTGATAGAATAATGTTGATAACACACAGATGTTTTAGTTGTTGCTAAGTAGTGCTTATCCTGAGTTAAGAATTTTTCAGGGAGGGAGCGTGGCCAGGAGAGCTGACCTGAACTAGCTGAAGGGCTATTTCATACCATAGGGCATCATGCCCAGTATAGAAACTGGGGAGAGTTGGCCGGCAGGGGCTGATCCCTGCTCAGGCATTGGTCAGCAGGTGGGGAGCAAGTGCATTGTGCATCGCTTGTCTTTTATTTCTCTCTTTTTTATTATATTCTTTTTCATTACAATGATTATTATCTTTAATTGTTATTGTTATTATTATATTTTACTTTATTCAGTCAGGAAAATGTTCTTATCTCAACCCATGAGTTTTACTTTTTTTTCAATTCTCCTCCCCATCCCACTGGGAGTGGGAGGAGTGAGCGAGAGGCTGCATGGTGCTTAGTTGCTGGCTGGGGTTAAACCACAACACTTCTGCATCCCTATTTGCTCTTTACAGTGACGTTTCGAATTGTCTCTTTGGATAAAGACTTCATGCCCAGCACTAAGAAGGTGAGAGCGGGGCTGGGGAAGGGGGGAGGCAACAGGGCTCCTCTGCACTGCCCTCCTACAGTCTCTGCAAACCATGAGAGAGGTGTGGGAGTCAGCCAGCGCCTTCCTTCTCGGGAATCCTGCCCCAGCCAGCTCTGCCTGGGTGGCTGTGCTTCCCAGGGACAGGGATGCCCTGTGGCATTCACACAGGCTAAGGAAAGACAAAGGAGAATTACATGTTTGACATGGGAATGTACCCACTTAAATTTCAGTTAGGGATGTAGCGATGACATGTGGGAAGCAGGGAAAGTGCTGTTGATATCACCAAGTCAGACACCAGGATTACATTCAAGTTCAGTCTTTGGCCCCCCAAGCAATCATTTGTGTCTCTGGAAGCACAGGAGGTGCCCAGATTAAATGGTTGCTGGTTTCTTGTGAAGGCATTAGGAGATGCCACCTCTCCATGCCATGCTGCCAGTGCCCTCAGCTCATCCCAGCTAGAGCAGCCCACAGGCTCAGAATCAATCCCAAAGCTAATTGAAGTGTTGGAAGTCCACAGCATCCCACAAATAACCCTCACTGTACTCCATCCACAGCTCCATAAATGTCCCCCACCCTGGTGAGACTCCAAGGAAGGCTTTGAATTTCTCCTCTAACCATGTTCTCTTTGCTTTGCAGCTGCCCCTTGTCTTCCTGAAGGTCAGTCTGAGAGATGGAGGGAGGCTCCTGGGCGGTGTGGGCTTGGGAAGGCACCATGGCTGGGAGAAGTATAACACAGCCACGGGCTGTTTTAGTGTGGGGTGCTGGGATCCCCAGGGTGCTGACACCACATGTCCCTGTGTGCAGGATCCCAGTGGGAACCGCATCGCGCAGTGGCAGGAGGTGAGCCCACGGCAGGGCATCGTGGACCTGTCCCTCCCGCTGGCTGCAGAGCCAGCTCTGGGCACGTACATCATTGAGGCGGAGGGGAAGAGCCACTCCTTCAGCGTGGAGGAATATGGTACGTGGGACCAAGAGGTGCACGGTGGGTGGGAGTCCCACCTTGGCATGTCGTTGTGGGCAGCATGTCCTGGCCCCCCTGGCCCCCAAGGCACCATTGTCCTTGTCCTGGGAGCAACTACACTCTCTCCTTCTGCTTCTCCATCAGTGCTGCCCAAGTTTGAGATGACCATTGACATCCCTGCTGTGGTGCTGGAGAAGGACAAGAAGTTTCAGATGGAGATTTGTGGACGGTGAGCCTGAAACAGGCTGTGCCAGGAAGAGGGAGGCATGGGGAGATCCAAGGTGATGTGGTCTATCAGGCCCACCCTCACCTCCCTCCACCCAACAGGTACACCTACGGGAAGCCTGTCCAGGGGAAGATCCAGGCCAGCTTGTGCCAGCCCTTCAGGCACATCTGGCACGTGTACAGCATTTATGATGCCCCTGAGAAAAAGATGAACTGCATCCAGGTTAGCGGGCAGGTGAGCACAGCTGGGGAGCACAGGTGCCGCTGGGACAGCCCCTTCCCCCCTTCCCAGGACTGCTGCTAACGGGGTTGACACTCTCACTCCAGACTGAGAAGAATGGCTGCTTTTCAACTGAGGTTTTGTTGAGTGCCTTCAACCTGACCAACTCCAGATATCAGAAGCAAATCCAAGTCCAGGCGTCATTGGTGGAGGATGGTACAGGTAGGGATGGCAGCGTTCTCCTGCTTGGGCAGGGGCACTGCTGCTCGTGTGCGGCTTTGTGTTCATTCCTGTGTGCACTCAAATGCATGTGGCACAGGTGTATCGGCCTTCTCCAGGGAAGCCCAAAAGCAACGCTGTGGTTTAGAGGTGCATGTGTGCAGGGACTGGGTCCAGGCACGGATATGAGCTAGGTCAACCAGGCCATACTCCTAATTCTGACCAGAGAAATGGCTGGGAGGCAAAACCACCTTTCCAAGATCCAACAGCTTCCCTGACACTACAGCTAGCAGAGAGTCGACACAAGGCAGTGGTTTCACCCAGTCTGGTGACGTGGCTTTTGTTCTGTGAGGTAATCCACCTCACCCACCAGAAATGACTGCCAGTGGCTTGGCTTCAGAAAAAGAGACCAGGGGTTGTCCCAGGCCCACTGGCACTGAGGAGGCCCTGCATCATGGTGCTTGGGTGGAGCATCTTTTCTGAAGTCTCTGCAGCCAGCTGCACCTTGGTTTTAGGTCTAAAACATGCTGTAGAGATTTTGCTCCTCTTCTAGGAGGTACAGACTGTGCTCAAAGCTGCCAGCTGCTGAGGGAAAGCCTAAAATGTCCAGGAACTTTTCAGCGCTGTGACAGGAGAGCTGGCAGCAGCTAACCTGTGCCCTGTGTCCTCACAAGAACCTTAGCTCCCCACTCCCTCTTCACAGGGCTGGAGCTGAAAAACACCAAGAGCTGCAAGATTTTACCTGAAATTTTCACTGTCACTTTTGAAAACATCGATGATTTCTACAAGCCTGGGATTCCCTACACTGGGACGGTAATGGGGCGTCCTTGCACCCTGCTGCACCCCATCCTGTTCCCTCTGACCCCCAGCTCTGCTATCCCACCCCTGCCCTCTGCTCCACGGCTGCAGCCCAGCCCGGGGCATCTCCCCTTCCCTCCTGGTGCAGATGCTGCTGAAGGGAGCTGATGGTGCCGTGCTGCCACAGAAGCAGCTCTTGCTCATCGTTAGCCAGCAAGGAAAAGATACAAGACAGACCTTCCTGACAGACAGATCAGGGAGAGCCTCCTTTGAGCTGGAGACTTCTGGATGGAGTGGCACGGTCTCCCTGCATGTAAGTGACCCACCTCTCGGGGGTACCTGTGCTGCCTTCTCCACTAGTACAGGGCTGGGCACCTCTCCAAGCCTGCACCAGTGATTGCTGACACCAGGACCAGTACCTCATGGCCTGCTGAAGAGCTTCACCATCCTGACTTCTTCCTCCATTGCTCAGGGTCGAGTCAACAAGACAGCTCACGCCCAGAACGATGGCTCGAGACTCACCTATGAAAATGCCCATGCATATCTCAGACCCTTCTTCTCGGCAAGCAGGAGCTTCCTGCAGATCCGCCAGCTAAAGAGGGAGCTGCCCTGTGGCCAGTCCCAGCAGCTCTGGGTGGACTACATCTTCAGCAAGGAGGCCTTGGGGACTGAGCTGAAGAGCCTGGATGTGGTCTTCCTGGTGAGCCCCAGACTAGGGAGGTTGGGCAGCGGCCGTTAGGGCGGTTGTGTGTGACGATCCACATCTACACACAGTTGTGGTAGCGTCCCTGAGGACAAGACAATGAGTAGTCTTGTCCTGGCTAGACTGAGAGGCCTGTGCCTGATAGAAGAGGTGTCTGCTGGCACTGTTGGACCTGAATGCCAATGGGAGACATTGTGGGGGCTGGAGACTGGGCAAGGTCAAAACCTATCCCAACACCTTCACTCCTGGGTCCATCCTCCATCAGGGCATTTTGGTTCCTCACAAAGCATCATTTTGGTTGTTCCCATCTCTCCTCTGCAGGTCCTGGCCAAGGGGACCATTGCCACTGTCCTCAGGAAAGAGCTGCCTGCAGAGGCTGGTAGGTCCCGAGGCATGGACGGGCTGTGCAGGGCTCTGCTCTCTGTGCCTGATCTCCCCTCCTTTCCCATGGCCCAGGGCTGAGAGGATCCTTCTCCCTGGAGCTGCCCATTGGCCCTGAGCTGGCACCCAGGGCCAAGGTGCTGGGCTACGTGGTGCTGCCCGACAGCGAGATGGTGGCTGACAGCACCGAGCTCAAGGTGGCCAAGTGCTTCCCCAGCACGGTGAGTGGAGGCTGCTGGAGATGGGGAAAACACACCATGTCTTGTCCATAGCTTGATGCCCTGAAGTCCATCCTGCTCTGGATGTATCACAGTGGCACAGTCTCCTTAACCCATGCCCTAATCCCCAGACCCTCAAGCCTGATTTTATCCTTGTCAAGAAGAGACCTCCATGTCCATGGCTTGGAGCTGCTCCTGCATGGGAAGTGGCTCTCACTCCTGCCCTTGCCACCTGACATCCCTGTCCCTCCCCAGGTGAAGATGGCTTTTTCAGAGGACAGGGCTCTGCCTGGCTCGGCACTGCAGCTGAAGCTGGAGGCTGCCCCGGGATCCCTGTGTGCTGTCCGTGCCGTGGACCGGAGTGTGCTGCTCTTGAAGCCTGAGGCCGAACTCAGCACAGAGGCGGTGAGTGATGGCAGGGTCCAAGGCCCCTTCTGCAGTCCTGGGGACCAGCCGGGGATGGGAAGAGATGACATTGGCTTGGACCTCCCCTACAGAGACGTGGTGCCATGTTGGCTCCTTGGCAGTCCTGATCCTGGGCAGGGGTAGGTGCCTGGCTGGTTTTGTACCTATCACACATGTTTATTCCCAGGTCTACAAAGTACTCCCCGAATTTGACTACCCTAGAAGCATTCAGGACCCACCACCCTGTCCAGAATTTCCCTGGGATTATCCCATCGACTATGACTTTCCTGTCAGCCCACTTGTAGTGAGTCAGCAAGACTTCATTCTCCCTCCGGCAAGGCATCACTTACCATACCATTTTCAGAGGAGTTCCCAGGTGGACACCTACAAGTTATTTCAGGTAAAGGCCCTGCCTGCCTGTGCCTCCTGGTTCCTCTTCATCCAGGAGCTGGCTGTGATTTGCTCAGTGTCCTGGGAAACCACAGCACTGTCCCATGAAAGCCACACTCATGGCAAAGTTTCCCTTTCCCACGAATGCCAGGCTCTGGTGCTTCTCCACTTGTCATCTTCTGCAGCCCTGTGACTATTTACTGCTGGGATGGGGATATTCCTCCTGCCTGGTTTCAACCTCTTTTCTTTTTCACAGAACGCAGCACTGAAACTTTTCACCAATGCCAAGACCAGTGATGTTTGCAAAAAGATATTCGGCTTGCCTGAGATGCAGCTTTCCCAAGGTCCCAGAGGTCAGCACAGCCCTTGGTTTGCTCACTCTGCTGAGCCCTCTCAGGAGAAAAGAGCAAAGAACTGGTGCCCAGTCCTGGTTCCCGTGTCCTCAGAGGGATTTGGAGCCATCCTGAAAATCCATTCAACATCAAAGGGATTGAGGATTCAAAAAGGATTTTGGCCACCTTCACACTGCCTGCAGGCAATGTACAGCTGAGATGCAGAGACCTGTGGACCCTAATTTCTGCTTTGCCTTTTCCAGGTGCCAAGTTACATGTCACCGATTTGCCTGAACGACTTGATGTCCTGAAAGTAATGAGCCCTGCTATCCCTGTCGCCAATGTCCAGGAAGAGCCACCAGCACCCCGGACATATTTCCCAGAGACGTGGCTGTGGGACCTGATCCCTGTGGGGTGAGTGAGGATGGTCCCCAGGGCATTCCTCCTGCATGGAGGGAAGTTGAGGACGTCAGGATGGGTCCTTCTCCCACAGGGAGAGAGCTAGTCCAGCTGGGGATGGCATCAGCTGTGGGTGACCATGGTGGGATGGCCTTAAGATGTTCTCCATCCCACAGGGAGGGGGGCTCTGCAGAGGTGGCGGTGACGGTGCCCGATGCCATCACCAAGTGGGAAGCCGGGATGTTCTGCACGTCCCCGCTGGGCTTGGGGCTGGCCCCTGCCACCGCCCTCACGGCCTTCAAGCCCTTCTTCGTGGAGCTGGCGCTGCCCTACGCCGTGGTCCGCCACGAAGCCTTCACCCTTGTGGCCACCGTCTTCAACTACCTGCGGCAGTGCCTGCGGGTGAGTGGGGCTGGGGAGGGGGCCCTGGGGCTGGGGTCTGGCGGGGGCTGATGGAGCCCTGGCTGTGGTCTGGCAGGTTCAGGTGACGTTGGTGGAGTCAGCGGAGCTGGAGGTGTCGCCGAGCGCGGATGAGCTGTACGGCGGTTGTATCTGTGCAGACGAAGCGAGGACATTCCGATGGAGCGTGCGAGCCACCAGCCTGGGTACAGAGCACCAGGACCACAGCAGGACCCTCCTGCCCTGCTGCTTGGGGATCCCTTCAGAGGATGGGGTGGGCAAGGAGGACAGGAGCAAATGCAGTGCTGCCTGGGAAGCTCTCCTCTGCTCTTCCTTCATGCTCCCTATTGCCTCACAGCACCGTTCCTCAGCCTGGTGACCTCCATCTGGTTCCAACCAGCCCCACACAAAGCCCCAGGGGCAATGCAAGCCCATGGGGCTGCCGTGCAGGCTGGGGGGCTCCGTGGGGACTGAGTGCCCTGCTTGCATTCACAGGGGAGGTGAACATCACCATCAGCACCGAGGCTCTCAGCTCCAAGGAGCTCTGTGGCAATGAGATGCCCGTGGTGCCGGCTCAGGGGCGCGTGGACACCATGATAAAGCCCTTGCTGGTGCAGGTCAGATGGGTTATGGAGGAGGAATGTGGGTTAGGTTTGGGTACAGGGTCCGAGCAGCCCTTGGGGTGCAGTGGGAGGACCAGGAGTGGGACAGCACCCAGCTCCACGCCTGGGCTGCAGGCATGATCCTGTGGGACAGGGGAACACGGCTGGTCCCTTCTTCTGACCTATTCTGGTGCTGCTTCCCCACAGCCCGGGGGCATCCTGGTGGAGAAGGCGCACAACTCCCTGCTCTGCCAGGAAGGTAGGATCGGCTGGGGGCGTCTGGCAGTGCTGTGGGAACATGGGGCAGGATGTTTGGCCACTGGTCACAAGGGCCACCAGGCCACAGAAGTCAAGGACCAGGGTCCCTAGGGGATCCCAGCTAAGATGCTGCAACCCAGCCTTGAGCCTGTGGAGGGTCAGAGCAGGAAGGGAGTGGGCAAGGGCGCCATGGGGCAGGGCCAGCAGGAAATGGGCATCCTCACTGTCATTGCCCTCCATCCCCACAGTCACTGAAGAAATCTCCTTGGAGGTTCCTGCAAACATCCTGGAGGGCTCCCAGCGAGCCCACATCACCGTGATGGGTAAGGGACAGACAGGGGACAGGGGACCACCTGGGGCAGGGAGGGTGCAGAGCTCCATGGCCCAAGCTCAGCAGGAGGCAAGACCACCCAGAGCTGAGATGGGAGGGGTACAGGGGACACAGCTGATGACGGTGCTCCTCATATCCCCCTGGGATAGGTGACATCATGGGCAACGCTCTCCAGAACCTGGACCACCTCCTGGCCATGCCCTACGGCTGTGGGGAGCAGAACATGGTTCGCTTTGCCCCCAACATCTACATCCAGCAGTACCTGGAGAAGAGCGGGCAGCTGCACCCCGACATCCGCGCCAAGGCGCAGGGCTTCCTGCAGAGCGGTGAGTGTTCCCGGTCCCCTCCTCTCCCTGTCCCACCCTGCCCTGCTGCTGAGGGACACAACTGCCCCATATCCCCCCTCCCCATTTTCTACCTGCACCCCGGGGTGGGTCTGGGTTCCAGGCTGCCTCTGGGATCTCCTGGTCAAACCATGATGTAAAGACTCATCCCCACCTCCTCCCCACAGGGTACCAGCGAGAGCTGCTCTATAAACATGATGATGGCTCTTACAGCGCCTTCGGGAAGAGCGATCCCAGTGGCAATACCTGGTGAGGGACCACACAGGGCTCGGGCAGGCTGTGCAGTGGCACCCCTGCGGGGACCAGCTGTGCTTAGGGGGTCCTTCTGCCACCAAGCACATTCCAGCTTCAGGCACACATCCTTCTGATGTCCCTCTGGCTCACAGGCTGACAGCATTTGTCCTCAAGTCCTTCGGACAAGCCAGAGCCTACGTGGCCATCGAGGAGCGGCACATCACCGATGCACTGCGCTGGCTGCAGAAGCAGCAGCAGCAGACGGGCTGCTTCCGCAGTGTGGGAAAGCTCTTCAACAACGCCCTGCAGGTGGGTCAGTGGGGTGGGACATGGGGACACACGACTAGGGCCAGGTTGGCCCCAGCATGTCCCCGATGGGGAGGCAGTGGGGGAGTCCCTGTGCTGATGGCACCGTATGCCCGACCTGTCTCCCGCTGTGCCCTTTGCAGGGTGGTGTCTCAGACACGCTCTCACTGTCGGCTTATGTCACGGCTGCAATACTGGAGCTGGGGCTGTCGCCAAAGGTGAGGATGACCCCATCATCCCTGGTGGGGCTGGTGGGGTTGGAAGGGTGCTGGGGCAGGGGGTCTGTCTGTTCCATGCCACCTCCTAGCCAGACCTGGGCGCAACTGGTCTTACTGGGCAGAAATGAGGTCTCTGAGCGATGTCCATGCCCATGGACTTGTTCCTGACTCTGGTCCCATGCCAGGACACGATGGTGAGCTCAGCCCTGCAGTGCCTGGAGGCTTCAGCCACAGACAACCCCTACACTCAGGCGCTGCTGGCCTACGTCTTTGGGCTGGCAGGGCGCAGGGAGCAGCAGCAAGCCCAGCTGCAGAGCCTGGCCCAGCACAGCGTCAGTGCAGGTACCACCCGTCGCTGGCAGGGGCACTTCTGGGCAGTGCCATCCTCTACCCTGGTCACCCCATGCTACCCCCAACCCCAGACACCCCCGGAGCAGGGGGGCTGAGCTCCCACTCACTTTACTCCCAGAGGGGCAGCTCTACTGGCAGAGGAAGGAGAAGGCTATGCCACCCTCGCAGCCCTCCTGGGCTGTCGCCGCACCAGCGGAGGTGGAGATGACCGCCTACGTCCTCCTGGCCTACCTCTCCCAGCCCCAGTTGTCCTCTGCTGACCTGGGAACTGCTTCCCAAATCGTCCGCTGGCTCAGCAAGCAGCAAAACCCCTACGGGGGCTTCGCCTCCACACAGGTACCACCACCATGGTCCAGGGGGCTCCTCCAAAGCCTCCCCTCCCTGTACCAGCAGTTAGGGGTGACCCTGGCTCTGTGCTTCCTCCACACCCAGGACACCGTTGTGGCACTACAAGCCCTGGCCAAATATGCCGCCCTGACGTACAGCAGCAACGGGGACTTCATGGTGACAGTGACAGCACCGACGGGCACCACGCAGGACTTTGTGCTGCACAACAGCAACCGGCTGGTGCTGCAGCGGGCGGCTCTGCACGAACTGCCGGGGACATACAGGATCCGAGCCCGTGGGCAGGGCTGTGCCCTGGTGCAGGTGGGTACGGCCCAAGGTCGCCATCCTTGTGTGGAGCCCGCTCGGTGGCCCTAACCCTCCTGTGTCACCCCAGGTGACCCTACGCTATAACGTGCCGCCCCCTCCGAGCGTGGGGACGTTCGACCTCCGCGTGGAGACAGAGCCCCGGGAGTGCACGGGGGACGCCAGCACCCGCTTCCGCCTCCTCCTACGGGCACGGTAGGGGCTGGGGCTGCCCCCTGTGTTTAGAGGGGCTGGGAGCAGCCAAGGAGAGTGGGCAGACCCCAACCCCACCCCGGGGCTCTGCCCTTGCAGGTACACTGGGGAGCGTCCCGCCACCAACATGGTTGTCATCGAGGCCAAGCTGCCCTCTGGTTACATCCCCGACAAGAGCTCCATGGTGGAGGTGAGAAACCCCCACTGCCCCTGGAGCCTCCTCTGCCCTGCTGGGGCACCCACCCCAGGTGTTGGCCCCAGCTGGGGCACACACCAAGCAGCTGTTGCCCATCCTGAGCTGTGTTCCTCCAGCTGAAGAGGCAGAAGCTGGTCAAGAAGGTGGAGGTGCAGCCCGACCAGGTGACCATTTACCTGGACCAGGTGAGATGGGGCACGGGGACAGCAGCAGGACCCCATGTGCAGGGGTGTGGGGATCCCTCCCCATCACAGATGGTTGCACCTCACCCTTGGGCCGTTTCCACAGCTGACAAAGGAGGAGGAGACCTTCTCATTCACCACCACACAGGACTTCCCAGTCAGGAACCTCCAGCCGGCCACTGTGACGCTCTACGACTACTATGAGACAGGTGAGCCTTACCAGGGATGTGGCCCCAGGCCGTCTGGCCCTGCTGCCACCCCTTGCAACCCTGATGGCTTGTGGAGTGGGGGGACCAGGCTGAGCTTTCAGTTCACACTGACGAGCTTTGGCTCATTAACGTGAGCAGCTCACCCTGAGCCCATCAGTCACCATCCCTCCCGTTGCAGGTGACCGCACAGATGCTGCCTACAGTGCACCTTGCAGCTCAGGTAGGGGTCGAACCTGAGAGAGCAGAGGGGTCACCCCAACAGTGGGACCATGACGGGCACACACCGACCCTGAAGGGCCAATCTGGGCTGAGCCCCTGGACCCAGGGGATGGAGGGCAGAGAGTGGGGATGGAGACGCCCCACCAGGAGCACCAGGGATCCATGGGGATGGGCTGGCCAGAGTTTGTGGGGGACATAGGTCAGGGAGGACCCAGCCTCCAGGCTCTGGGGTGCAGAGAGGAGCTGTGCCTCTTTGAGGGGGCTCAGACCCCCATGAGCCCTGGCTCCCCTCCTCTGCCTCCTGCAGAGCTCCTCTCTGTGGGTTGGGAGTCACACAGGGATGAGACTGAGCTCTGAGGGATGGAGCTCAGCTGGAGGGACAGGGGCAGCCGAGTGCGGCTGTGGGGGCAGAGGGACTCTTCTCTCACAGAACCCCCATATTTGTTGTTGAAGAGGCTGACAGTCAGGAGCAGGAAAACTTCTAGCACAGCCTGAAGCCTGACAGCTGGTGCCCTCCATTCACCCCAACTCCCTCCACCACCGAGGACCAGAACAGCCAATGGTCTCTGCTCCCACCCTGGCCCTGGCCCTGACCCTCCATGAAGTCGGGACGTGGCCCAGAGACGCTCAGAGCCCCACTCGCACCCAGCACAGCCCGGGTCACTCGGGACTCAGCCACTTGTCCCTGCAGCGCAGCTCCCACCCCAGCAGGACACAACGGAGCCACGGCCAAGGGGTGACGCAGACCCCCGGGCAGAGACTTGCTGCTCTGCAAGCCCCTGCCCCAGGTACTTGACCTCAGTTGAGGAGCCAAGTGGTGGCGTCACAGGGACACCCCAGTGCATCGCCCCCCACACCCCCAGGGAGCTCAGCGGCACCAGGTCTGGCCTCTCCCCTCCCCAGGGCCCTGCAACAGCACCAATATAATCCCAGAATCATACATGTTGGAAAAGCCCTTGCAGCTCCTCCAGCCCCACCATGACCCTCACCCTGACCATTCCCAACTCCCCCAGATCCCTCAGTGCTGGCTCAGCCCGACTCTTCAACCCCTCCAGGGACCCCAGGGACTCCCCCCCTGCCTTGGGCAGCCCATTCCAACGCCCAACAGCCCCTTCTGCACAGAAATCCTTCCTCAGAGCCAGCCTGATCCTGCCCTTGGCAGCTTGAGGCCATTCCCTCGGGGCCTGGCGCTGGGGCCTTGGCTCAAGAGACTCACCCCCCCTCTCTGCACCCTCCTGGCAGGGAGTTGTAGAGGCCCATGATGTCTCCCTTCAGCCTCCTCTAGAGTAAACCCAGCCCATTTCCCAAGAGCTCTTCCCTCCCATCAGACAAACTGTCCCTCACCCAGCAGGTCCCCACAACCATCACCCGTTCTTGCTCTCCCTGGAGTCATGGTGCTACCCCAGTCCCCTCCCTGGCTCTAACATGGGACCCCTGTCACCAGGAGGGACCTGGGGATATCTCCACAAAGCCATCACAAGAGTCAGGTGATTGTTGATGTAGTGAAGCTGCAGTCCCGCAGCCCCTGCCCTGGGTCTAAATAAATACATTTGCTCAATTGCATCTTTTCGTCTTTCTTAAACTTGCAGTGTCCCACACCTGGCATGGTATGATGGAGGGGCGGCGGGGATGAGTGGCTGCTCTGGAATGGGTTGGTGGGGCAGGGAGGGGGGATGTCAGGCTGGCTGGCTGCCAGGCGAATCCATCAGGGTGCAGCTGCTCTGCCAGAGACAAATCTAGCAGGCAGAGGCAGGCAGGCACCCTGAGCACAAATCCCAGCCCCACAGCCCTATCCGCCTGACAAGCGGTGCAGGAGGGGACAGGGCTGCTGGCCACGCAGAGCACTCACCTTGCCAGGACACACAACACCTCCCGGCGCTGCCTCAGACCACGGTTTAATTCTGCTGTAACCGAGGAGCCGCTCCGTGTAGGTCACCAACACCTGCCTGCCTCAGTGCTCAGCAGCCACTGTCCTGAGACCTCGGTGACAAGTACGGCCCAGGGAGCCATTCCATAAGCCACAACTTCTCTGGGGACAGCGAGGGCTGGTGAGGGTGCTCGTGTCATCCCTGGAGAGCAAGTTTCCCAGAAAAGCCAGCAACAGTGAGAGACTGGGAGATGCAGCCACACAGCGAGTGCAGGAAGGGGGTTGATACTACAGTGCCAAGGCCAAATAAACCCTCCCTGCCCCAGGAGGACAGGAGACAATGTCACATCAAGGCACAGAACAGCACTGTGTGTCTAAGTCACAGCCCTGTCCCCATGCTGGCTTCCAAGGCCATGGCAGGAGGACAGGAGCCAGCAGTGCCTGTTCCCCCAGCTGAGTCCCTCGATGAGGATGGAGCTAGTCTCACATCATTTATGGCGTTTTTTCTTTTGTTCTTTGCGCTTCTGAGCCCTCACGTCCTTCTTCAGGCGGCTGTCAACAACCTTGAACTGGCCCTTGACGCCAGGAGGACGGCGCACCCGGGGTCCTACGCCTTTCTTAGCCACCAAGTAGGTGACCTGCCGCTTCTCCTTGGCCAGCCCAGCCTTCTTGTAGATGCTGCAGGAGAATGGCAAAAGGTGAGATGTAGCCAAAGACCAATATTGGGTCCCAGCATTCTGCTGGGCCTCTGTGCCCAAAGACAGGGCTCCCTCACTGGCTCTGCCACCCCCCTCAGCCTACACTGGGTCCAGTCTTTGCCGGGTTACGCGCAGGAGCTGTCCCCGTGTCGGGGCTGCAGGGCCACGTCACTGCGGACCAGCCCAGCACAACGCAAGGGATCTGAATCTCAGCTCACCGCCGCAGCTGGGCCACTTTCTCCCGCTCCGAGATGTCCACCGTGCTCACCACAGCCTCTGCTTTCTTCTTCATCTGCTCCATCTTCTTCAGCATCTGTGAAGACAGCGAGGGTGAAGGACAAGGGGGATGGGAGCAGGGACAGAGCACCCGGGAGGGGGGACAAAGCACCCAGTCACGTCCACAGCCCCACTCACCCGCCGCTTCTTGCGGGCCTTGGCCTCTGCCACCTTCTTGATGGGGCGGGCATTGATTTCCCGCCAGCGCTGCCGATACGCCTCAACCGTCTGCCGGTCCACGGGTATCTGCTTGCGCCGGTGCTGCTTCTCCTCCTCTGTGAACCACTCTGGCAGCTCTCCCTCGTCCTCGTTGTAGGAATATCTGGGGAGCACTCAGGTGAGTTGTGAGTGGGACACGGGCTCCCCACACCAATACATCTGCCACTCCCCTGGCCTGTCTCCTGCTGGGGGACCAAACACTGCTCCCCCTCCAACAACCACAGCTGCAAGTACCTGTTGAAGGAATCATCAATCAAATCCCGTGTGGCTTTTTTGGATGTGGCGATGACGGAGCCGAGCGCCAGGCCCTCTGCATCCAGGACACGGGCTCTTTTCACTGCAGTGTACAGACAGATTAAAGATTGGCCTACCTTCAATCAGGCTGAGACCCAGGGAGCAGCAAGCAGCCCCACCAGCCTGGGTAAACATGGCCTGACCCTGCCTCCTGTCCCTAAAGAGGGACTTACTGGGTGCCCATGGGCACAGAGAGCACCCACCCCCCCTCACCTGGGTTCTCAATGGGCACCACCTCGAAGCCACCCGGCTCGACACGGCTCCGCTTCCTCCCCACCGGTGTCAGTGGCCTGTGGAGGGGAGTGGTCAGGGCTGGGGTCTTCAGCTCCCAGCTCGCGAGGACTGTGAGCTGGGGGAGAACATCCAGACCGCTCCCCTCCCAGCCCTCACCTCTCCTCGTCGCTGCTGCTGTCATCATCGCTGCTCTGCTCATCCTGCGCTTTGCCAGCGTCGGGGCCTGTGTCTGTGGCAGGCGGGGGCTCAGCTGGAGCTTCCTCCTGGGGTACCACCTTCTGCCCTTTCCTTGTTGCTTTGTCTGGGGAACAGGAACCACAGGGTGAGAAAGTGTTGAGGCAAAGCCCACTGCAGACCACTCCTCTAGAGGCGCAGATCATTAACACTAAACTAACACCAGCTCGTTAACTATGGAACAATACAGGCTGGAAACAACCTCTGGAGACCTCTGGTCCTGCTCAGAGTAGCAGCCCCACCATGGTCCGTCCCAGTGCCCCAGACCGGGCCGTGGGGCTGTCCCCCAGTGTCCCCCGCAGCGATGCAGCCCCCACTAACCTCTCTGAGACTCACGCTGTCTCTCAGCCAACATCTGTGACTGCCGCAGCTCCAGGTCCTCATCTGCATCATCCTCGATGCCAGCAAAGGCGTCCTGGGGATGGGGAGCAGCGGGTCAGGGCAGGCGGCCTGGGGAGCTGCTGGGGCCGAGGCTGCCCTGTCATTTCCAGCCCGGTGGGACCCACCTTCCCAAACCACAGGCTGGTCTGCCGTTCCTCCAGCACCGACTTCTCCTCCAGGGGAACCAGCAGGGGATTCTCCTCTTCCTCCGCTTCCTCTTCCTCTTCCTTCTGCTTAAACTTCACACTATGACAAAGAGCAGCAGAATCATTGCCCCCCCCAGCCAGGATGTGGTGTGCCCACTGCTGGACCCTGGAGCTGCTCCAATGGAAGCTCTGACCCAGCGCGGCCTCTCCCGGCTCTCACCTCTTTGCACCCTGCTCTCGCTTTTCCCGCTCCAGCCGGCGCTGACGGGCCTCTATCTCAAGCAGCTCCTCTGGGTCCAGATCGCTGGCCAGGGACACATCGTCCTCTTCTTCTTGATCTGAGACATAAATGTCATCATCCCCGGGTCCTATCTCCAGAAGGGCGTCTGCCGATGCCATGTCCCCTCGGGTCACCTCATTCAGCAGCTGCAATACAAGTGAGATGAGTCACAGGCCACAGTTTGTCAGCTGTGTGGCCACTGCAGTCCTGGCCCCAGTGACTCTGGGAGCCTGGCCTCCCCCTGCCCCACACACCGGAGTCTGGTGGATAGTCCGGAGGGAGAACATGCTGGTGTCACCATCATCGGCAATGGAGACACCAGGGAGGTCCATCTTCAGCTCTACACGCTCACGCTGTTTCCGCTGTTCCTTCAGGATCTTCTTCTTCTTTCTGAAGGAGGCAAAAGAATGAGGCTACATTGCCCCCCCTCCCCACACACACATCCCAGTAGCTCATCCACTGCCACATCAGAGCCAGGTCTCCTTCAACAGCACTGTCATCCTCTCTGAGGGGTCCCCAAACCTGGGACAAGGAGGTGCCAACGCCAGCTGGGAACAGATGCTTCACCTGCCCAGAGGGTTAGACAACCCCGAGGAGCCCAGATCCACCACCCACCCCCACCATCAGCAGAGGGACAGGCTCTGACACTACCCCGCTCTCTCCCCACGAGCCCCACTGTGCTCTGCTGCCCCAGTGCTCCCGCATCTCTCCTCACATGAAATCTTTTTACCTCTTTAACTCTGCCAGCTCCTTGGCCTTCATCTCCGCCAATGCCAGCTCTACCTCCTCCTCTTCTTTCCCCACTTCATCAGCTGCAGCTCTTGGCAAGGTTTTCTTCTCCTTCTTTTCCTCCTCTTTGCCTTCCTCCTCTTCTCCAGAGCTCAGGCTGCCAAAAGGAAGGAGCTCAAACCATCTCTCCTGGCCACATGCCCATCCCACTGTGCTGGCGCTCTAAGGCAACCCCGTGGTTCCTACTTGATATCCAGCTCCTTTGCCTGCTCTTTCAGCTTTTTGGCCAAAAAACGCCGCAACTTGGTCCTCCAGTTCAGCAAGGCTCTGTGCAGAAAGGCAGATCGTTAGAAATACCCACTGGGCCCTTTTCACAGCGCCCTGTCCCAGTTGCCCCCAGTACCTGAGCTCTTTGCGTCCCAGCACGCGGATGTCCTTGCAGCACTGACGCAGCTCCTCCGTGGTGGAACTGTGATTCTCCAGTTCACCATCCCCCAGTGTGATCTGGATGGAGCAGAAGGAAGTAAATTAAGCACGTATGTTAAGTTCCTTTCTTCCGTAAGAATAATCGACTTATAAAACACAAGGAGAATAACTGGCTAAACTCCAGGCAGGCTCCTGCCTCACCTCCCCTTTGCAAGAACGAGGCCATTTTGGGGGGCACCCGGCTCCCTCCTTTCACTGCTCTGTGTTCCTTGGGACATCTCGGGGGCCTCCAAGGTCCCCCTCACTCCAAGCACTCACCTCATTGGCCTTGGAGAGGAAGTCCACAGGGTTGGGAGCTTTGATGAAGTCCATCAGGGTGAAGCGGTGGTAGAGGGTTGTGTCACCATCTGCGTAGCCTTCTGCCTGCAGGAGGAAAGAGCTGTATGAGCCGTGGCAGGGCACTACAAGCGCCTTCAACACCCCAAAAGGATTAATGTCACATAACTCATGTCTTGCTGCAGCGTTCACTAAATGTGCCCACATGACTTAGGGATGAGAGCAAGTTACCAGCCCCAACCCAAGAGCTCCCATGTCTCCCAGTCCCACCTCAGCCTCAGAATGGTGACAGTGACAGGAGGTTTGTGTCAGCTCCATGCCCAGCTGAGGCCACTTGACATGACCTTTACTGTCCCGTGTCCTAAAGACACATAAATCCAGTAGCCAGCCATTGTAAGGAGGATTTTACTGATCTATCCCCAGCCTCACAACTTGTATCATCATTTCTCTATTACTGTACCACCCTAAGGCTGTAAACCTCTCCAAAACTGTCTCTTATGCCACTTTGCATCCCCAGACCTTTCATTTTCCTGAGCAACTTTGCTTATTACAATCTCTTTGGCTCCAGTTCCCAGACCCTTTATTGTATGTTTGGGATTACTCATACCTTTGGCTTCTTTTTGCTGATCAGCTCACTAACAGACTTAGTCTGAACCTCCACCTCCTTGAAAGCATATTTTGGGTCAAAGAACTTGCTGTCAATTTTGTCTGGAGCCTGATAACCTGGGATGGAGAAATAGGAGCTTTCAGTAGGTTTTTCCCAACCCTATTCCAGCAGTTGCAGGTCCCACCAGCCACTCACCCTGGCACACCACGAAGATCTCAGCAGACTCGTTGCGGGAGGCTTGGGGTTTGGTGGCCTGGACCTTCTGGAAGAACTGCTGGAAGATCCAGAGGAGCGGCTGGTAGTCCCGGGAACGAAAAACCTTGGTGATGAACCAGCCACCCTTGCAGAGGAATTCACAGGCCAGTTTCAGGGCCATAAGTGTCAGGTTGGCTGGAGCAGAGGAGAAGAGCAGTCAGCAGTCGTCACTGTCCCCACTGCCCAGCTCCCTGTCCCATAGTGCACACCACTGCCACCGTGCCCTGCTAGGGTATGAGATGAGCCCCTCATACTCCTCCAAAACCACATGCTGGCCCCAGGCAGGCCCCACCTTGGGAGTAAGCATCATGCACCCAGCTGGCTCCCACGTTGGGTGCTCCGTCGTTCAGCACCACATCCACCTTCCATGTCTGCAGCTCCTTGCGCAGGGCCTGAGGGATACACATGTGCTTTTTTCTCACTGACCCCTCTGCAACAATCAAGGGGCAGCATCCCCCATCCAAATCAGCTCAGCTCTGACTCCGTCCCACCCGAGAGCAAACCCCAGCTGAGTGGGTGGGGTGAAGCCCGCTCCCATCGCAGACAGACCTGCTCAGAGCCAGTTGGGCATGTGACGCTTGGGGCATGGGAGGCGGGTTTGTACCTGGCGGCACTTCTCACTGGTGATGTCCTCCTGCAGCGTCACCACGTTGGGAATAGGCTTGATAGGGACCAAATCCACTCCTAGTGTAAGGAAGAGATATGAACACTGCAACCACTCAAAACTGGTCTCCAGCCCATCCCACAGGGCTTCCCCTCCTGCCCTCTCCTCCTACCAGGATCCTCAGTCCAGGATCCCCTTTCTCTGACCACATCCAGGGATGTGGTGGAGGTCCCTGCCCCGAGTCTGTTCCTGCCACATCCTATCACTCACCAATGATCAAGCTGGAAACCGGCATGAACTTGGAAGCCACCTGCAGCCTGGAAAAAACAGAGGAATGAAGCTACAGCAGGATCCTAGGAGAGCCTCCAACCTTAAACTGTGCTGCCGGGAGTTAGGGATCGGCTTTGGCATTAAGGGCAGAGACACAACAACAGAAAACACACGTCACTTTACTACAGGGTCCCGGGGCAGCTGGTGGCACTGGGCTGTGACTTGGGGCCCTCACACCACTCACCACCCGCCAGGGGCTGCACAGAGGTCCAGCAGTGCCCGGGCCTTCTGCAGGAACTGGAACTTCCTATTGAGCTGCAAAAGCTTGAAGGAGGAGCGGGAGCGAAAGCCTGTGGGAGGAAGAGCCGCAGGTCATGGATTACCGGGGTTATGGGTTACCAGGACTGCAGCCCCCCGTGCCCCGCAGCTAGCAGGCAAGCCCCTCACCCGTCTCCTTGGCCAGGTGGTAGAACTTGTCCCGCCGGCTCTTGCCCAATTTGCTTTTCTTGCCCATGGCGGCGCCGGGTGGGGCCCTCCGCGGGGTCGGGACCTGCTGTCAGCCGCCGGCACGGACCTGAGGGGGACAGGGTGAGCTCAGGCGCGGCGGAGCAGAGGGACGGTCCGGTGTCCCCCACGACCTCCACAAATCCAGCGTCCCCTCAGCCTACCCCGGCCGCCGTGTCCCCCCGAGGCGCACCCCGGCCCCGCTGTTCCCCCGAAACCTTCTGACCTACCCCGCCTCGGGGTCCCCTCAGCGCTGACACCCCACCGCTCCCTTCCGCAGCCGCACCGCTGTCCCCGCCACACGCACAATCCGGTCCCGCCGCCGCCGCGTGCCCACACCACCTTCCCGGCGTACCCCGCGTGAGCCGACCAACTTCCGCTTCCGCTCGCCGACGCCATCTTGGGAGTGGCGCGTCCCCGCCGCCGTGGTCAGGACGGATGCCGCGGTAGGGAGAAGTAGGACAATACCGAATCCCCTCGTAGAAGCGTCTACGGCCTGTCCGTGCACCGCTGGTGCTTTGTGACACGGAAAAATCACCTTTGAC